TGCGGGTCGGGCCGGGCCATGCGCTGCGTCCTGATCGCCAGCACCGCGGCCGAGCTGCTCTTCTACTGGGCCGATGCCGCCTTCCTCCGCCGGCTGCGGCCGCCCCACGCCGGCCAGGTGGGGCGGGACGGGGCGGCGCGGGTGCGGGGAGGGGGTGCGCGGTCGTGCGTGGGCGCTGACCCGGGAGCGTGTGCCCCAGGGCCCGGCGCTGGAGGACAGCCTCAACACCCTCTTCGCCCCGCTCATCATCTCCTGCGCCGCACTGCTGGAGAAGCTCGCCGACACCTACACCTGCTTCGCGACCGAGCGCGGGCGGCACCTCCACGTCCTGCACATGGTAGGGCCGGGACCGGGGACCGGGGACCGGGGTGCCCCGGCTGGCCCCCACCTGACCCCGCTCGCCGGTTGCAGTTTGGGGACTGCCTGTACATCGCGGTGAACGGCGACGGGACAGAGAGCGAGGACGACCTGCGCCGGACGCTGTTCGTGCTGCGGCGCTTGGTGGAGGTTCACTGTGGCCTCGTCACCCTCGACTCCCACCTCATCCGCAAGGAGTGAGCGGGCACGGGCTGGCACGGGCTGGCACGCCGGGGTGCCAGGGCAGCTGCCAAGTGGTGCCTTCATGCAGCCCCGGGGGGGTGGGAATGGGTGTCTCCAAGCTGGGACCCCCCTTTGCAGCAGGACCCCTTGCCTGCTGGGCTGCAGCTGGGTTTTGGGCTGCCCGTCCCACCCAGGGAGGTGATGGCTGGCTCTCGGCTCTCACACTCTGGCCGTTGCAGGTTGCGGCCGGCCGATTCGGAGCAGCGGGAGCGTGTCTGGAGCCTGTTGCGGGGCCTGCTGGAGACCTACAGCCGTCTGCGGGAGGAGGACCAGAGCTTTGTGGTGGAGGTACCGTGCCCCGGGGTGTCCCTCGCCTTCAGGGCATCCCGGGGATGTGAGGCTGCATGGAGTCCAGGCATGTGGGGAAAGATTCTGGGCTGGGGACTTTGGGGCAGCTCCCTGGAGCTGTGGAAGCTCAGACCTGCCCCCGGCGCTGCGTGGCTGGGTCTGGGGGGACTCAGCAGCCTTCCCCCCAACCTGCACCCCAGGCTGTGGAGCGGCTGATCCATCCTCAGCTGTGTGAGCAGTGCATCGAGTTCCTGGAGCGGCAGGTGGTGCAGCACATCAACACCAGCCCCGAGCGTGGCGGCGACGAGGTGGGCCATGCCTTCCTCCTGGTGCACACCAAGCTGCTGGCCTTCTACTCCAGGTGCGCCCGTCCCCATCCCCGCCGCCCTCCCAAGGGCAGCCGCTCGCCCTCCTGGATGACCCTTCCCTTCTCTGGCCCACAGCCGCAACGCCAGCTCCATCCGCCCTGCCGACCTGCTCGTCCTCATCCTCCTGGTGCAGGACCTGTACCCCAGCCAGAGCACCGAGGAGGAGCTCGGCCCCCAGGTGCTCCAGAGTTGGGGGGGGAGGGGGGCAGCAGGTTGGGGTGCCCCTGCAGGATGATGCCTTGGTGGCCAGGGCTTGATTTTTTTCTTCCCTCTTTTCGGAAGGCCACGGCAGGGAAGCTGCTGCCCCAGGGACCCAAGAGAAGTGAGAGCATCCCCATGAGTGGCCCTGGCTCCCATGGAGCTGCAGAGAAGGACTCGGATGATCAGGTGAGTCCCTAGGATTGGCAGCTGCCGGGTGGGACTCTGGCTGGACTGCCTGCGTCGCTCCCATTGCTGACCCAGCCATTCTCGCCAGCAGGACACAGATGATCTCTCTGCGCCTGAGGTCTACTACACGCCTCAGCCCTCACCAGGCAGGCACAGCACGGGTGAGTGCCCAGCCAGGCAGCAGCCCTGCCCCGTGCCCCCCAGCCCTGCGGAGGCTTTGGGGCTGCGTGGGGAGCTGGCAGGGAGGGCGACCTGCTGTGCTCCCTGCAGGCAGCGAGAGCTGGTCGGAGGGTGCTGAGATGCTGGGCACTGCGGAGGCAGACGCTGCAGATGTCCAGGTGAGCAAGGAGTCCTGCAGTCCCTCCCAGCGCCACACCTCCTCAGCCTGTCCTGGTGCTCTTTGCAGTGTCTGGTCCTCATCACTCGTCCCTCGCTGTGCTGCGGCTGTGGGTGCCCCAGGCTCTAGGACTGGGGATGTGCCCTGTGTCCCCCATGTTGTGCATGACTGTGACAGCTCTGACCACTCTCTCTGAGACATTCTTTACAGTCTCCCTGTCCAGAGCTGTCAGCACAGAGGGGCCAGGGCTGCCTCAGAGCAGTCTGGTGTCTCCCTCTGCTGCCTCTGGGCTTTCTGGGCTGCTTCCCTGACAGATGCCGCAGAGCCTCACACACTTTGCAACCAGGCGCTAGCCTCAGCATAAGGCATTTGCAACCTCTGCCTTTGCAAGCAGCTTCCCCTCTATCTGCTGCTCTTTTGGGGTCTCTGGGCACTTTCTCCACTGCTGATCTTTTGCCACGTGGCCCCTCCAGCTACTTCAGTTCATTTGTGCCTGGGTGCAGCTTTCAGGGCATTGCTGTGTCCCTCCAGAGCATCCTGGGTTGGTGCAGGATGTCTCATCCCCGTGGGGGGCTGAGCATCTCCCATCTTTCCCCAGATGGCAGAGGACTTGCTCCAGACCTTGGGGCCTCTAGTCCCTGAAGCTTCAAACCCCAGAAGGATCTTCCTGGATGCCAACCTGCGGGAGGGTTACTGCCCCTTGCTGCCGCACACCATGCACTGCCTCCCGCTCTGGCCGGGCATCTCCCTCGTCCTCCTGACCAAGGTGAGCTGCCTCTAAGGTGAGGGAAGCGATGCCGGGTTCAGTCCTGGCTGACCCACCTCTCCCTTCCCTGGCAGGGCCCCACGACCCAGGTGGCCGTCACCTTGTACCAGCTGCTGGATGGTTTCCTGGTGCTGGAGAGGAAGCTGGAAGAGGGGCCGGAGGTGGGAGCCCCACGCTCCTACCCGTTCCTGGCTGAGCTGCGGCAGCGGATGGACAAGTTTGTGAAGAAGCTGAGCGGGCAGGACATCCAGGTGGGAGTGTGGATGTGAGGATCCTGTCCTGCTGTCCCCGCAGCCTGACACTGAGCCCTCTCTCTCTCTAGTTGCAGAACACCTGGGCAGACTTCAAGAACAAGATGTTTTCCCGGAGTGAGCCTGGGAGCTCCCTGGAGTGAGTATGGGGTGGCCAGGGAAAGTCTCCAGGGCAGGCAGGGGCCTTTCCCAGCGTGGGGGGCGGCACGGCTGTCCCTATGGCGCTGGGGACCCAGGGGCCAAACTTGGCACCGTCTGTGTCTCCCGGCTCAGGCTGCTGCAGGCAGTGGCCAACGTGAAGCGGCAGCTCTGCTCTGTGTATCGCCAGCTCTTCCTGGCCTCCACCGGCCACAGCCTGTCCCAGGGGCTGCGGGACCGTGCCCAGAAGCTGATGAGGTGAGTGCATGGGGGTGGCCAGCATCCCCAGGGGGCTGCCCCACACTCAGCTGTGGTGGGTCTTGGGGGGTCCCAGCCTCTCACCACGCCTCTTCCCGGCAGGGAGAAGCTGCTGGACTGGCGGGACTTTCTGCTGGTGAAGAGCAGGCGCAATATCACCATGGTGTCATACCCGTCCCTGCGGCTGGGAACCCAGCCCAGTGAGGAGGGGTCCCCAAGCGGGTAGCAGAGGTGGGAGTGGGGCTCTGTCCCCCCAGCACTGGGTTTAAGGGGAGAAGTGTGGTGGGTGAAGGTGGTTTCCCCAAGGCTCGGGCTGTCCTGGAAGGGTACCAAAGTTGTTGGACACCCTTAACCCATCCCACATACCTGGAGGACTTTCCTGGCCTGGTGCACTTCATCTATGTGGACCGCACAGCTGGGCAGATGATGGCACCATCGCTCAGTCTGACAGAGAAGTCCAGCTCAGAGCTGGGCAAGGGCCCCCTGGCCACCTTCATCAAGAAGAAGGTACTGCTCGTGGGGCTAGGGGTGGGATGGCGATCACAGGAGTGGGTGACAGTTGGAGGGTTTTCTGCTCAGGCTTCAGGTGCCCCTTTCCCTCAGGTCTGGTCCCTGATCGCGTTGGCCCGGCGATACCTGCAGAAGGGCTACACAACGCTCGTCCTGCAGGATGGTGACTACTGCTGCTCCTACTTCCTCTGGTTTGAGAATGAGCTGGTACGTGGGGCCAGGAAGGGGCTGAGCCCC